TTAAAGAGTTGAACAAATTAGAATCAAAACACAGTTGCACTGAAACTCTGTATAAGAGAGAATGCATCTGAAGCAAAGTTTCAGGGATGGAAATTAAAGAATGTATTTTGTTCTTAGCTTGAGGGGACTGATCCCAAGAGTAAAGGAAGCCCACTTAAAGTCTCTTGTTTATCTGTTGTAATCTCTCTAGGTCTTTGAAATTAAGATTCATAAAAATCTTTACTTCACCAAGATCAAGCATTTTACAAATACTTTGGTGAAGGAGTGGTCCCCTCTGATGCACAATATCTTCTTGACTGCAAGGTTTGCTTTTGTTCTGTAAATCTCAGCTTCAATGCCATCTTTTCTGAAGAAGATCACCTGACATATGCTGTCACACAACCTGGTTTATGATGTTCCAGGATTTATTACCTATAATTATTTTATTTATTTGTTTACTTTCTGTCTTCCATATGAGAATAATCTCCACGAAGGCAGAAACCATGTTTTTCTTTGGAGAATCAATAAATGAGTTGATAAATGAATGATTGAGGGCTGGTTCTTGAGTTGGTGTGGATGTATAGGACAGGAGGGATACACTTACTTCTTTGAAGGAAGCTTAAAAACTTTTATAGAGCCTTATACAGAAAAGTATACTCATATTTTGTGTTACTTTTACTACATTGCTCATTTGAGGCTGACTTATGTTGCCATTTTAAATTTTAGATAAGTTAATTTTCATCTCATCGACTCTGTCCCCTTTGGGCAGGCTATGTTTTTATACTTCTGTACTCCCAAGACCTAGCACTAACACATTGGTTTCAATAATATAGAATAAGGAAACAAGCAGAAAAACAAAGTTTAAAAAAAAACCCTTGATGTTCATTTAGGGCAACCATTGGTGTAATAATGCAATAGGAGCAGGATGTTATGGCACATACATACCTGTAAGCCCAGTGATTTGGGAGGCTGAGGCTAGAAGATCACAAGTTTAAGGACAGCCTCAGCAACTCAGCAACAAGACCGTAAGCAACTTAGAGAGACTCTGTCTCAAAATAAAAAGGGCTGGGGTTGTAGATCAGTGGTAAAGTGCCCCTGGGTTTAATCCCCAGAACAAAAAAATCTAAATAGAAGAATGCAATTCTCAGAGTTCATAAACATTGACTGGGTTATAATATAATTTTTAGAAAATAGATTATAAAATAGCATACTTGAACAAGTAATGCTAATATACACTGTATTGTAAATCATGTAAATTATATATGATGATAATCCTGAGTCTACTTTTAAAAAGTACTTGAGGGTGATATTTATTAGACATAAATTTACTAGTAGTAGAACTAAAATTAATGTAAACTGACCCCACATTGGGTCCAAAGTTTTCTGAATATGCTCATTGGTGAATATGTACTTTCTTGGGTCTAAGGAGAAAATCTCAGGCAGAGGAAGCATCACGTACCTGAGTTTATGACCCACTCCATTAATTCATTCTTGGGACAAGGACCATCATAATGTGATTTTTTTCTTTGATTCTCAAAGAAACATATACTAGCTTTAGAAAGTCTGGAAAGTGTAATTGGGAGTTAAAAATTAGGAAAAAAATAAACCCATACAAATAATCCATACCCAGCGACAAAAGCTGTTTATGTGTTAATGTTGTATAGCACAATACCCAAGTATTTCTATATGGCATACTGCGACTATAAAGTTTACACTTGCACTTGTCAATTTTATATGATTTTTATCAATACTATTTATTATCAATGCCTACTATATACAGGGTTCTGTTTTAAGTTTCTTTTATAAAGTACTTTGATAAAAATTCTCAGCTATCAATATTCAAAGATATTCAATTATTTAAAAAATCACAAAACATGCTTTTAAATCCTCAAAAGCACATATTATTATATCAGTTGCCATGTAAAGGATTATCTCATATTATTAAGTAACTTGAAAAATCTATTTTTGATAGCTGTATTTGTTCTGCTAGTGATGAGAAGACAACGTTGTCACCCTGTTTTTGAATTCTTGTGTTGGAAGAATCTAACATTTAGTATCAGAGACTGTGAAGATACAGCCAAAGTAAATCTACCACGCCATCACTTAGCAAATACCACAAAATTCTAAAACCATTACCTTAGGGGTATGCTCCTTGAATTGTATTAAGATATTTCTTCATTTTTGTATGGAAATGTTTTAAAAAGTAAATCTGATTCTAAAAAAAAAAAAAAAGGAAAACCTGATGTTGCTGTTGCTGTCTTTATTTGATAATCATAATAGTCTTTGCCATAATCCAGAGTAGGAAGAAGACTAAAAGATTTTTTCTAAGTCACCCAGTTTAAAGCTATATCTTCACACATGTCTGGTTCACTTCTTCAACCAAATAGTCCAGTCTGCTGACTCTGCTGACTAATAACCAGATTCAGAAGATATTAGAACTACAGATTTATGCTCAGTGGAGGTRTGGAGGACTTTTGGGAAATTAAGGCCTAAAGTAGTTAAATCCCTTGCTCAAGATCATACAACTTGTATACAGTAGGGAACACATTAGATTATAGGCCTTCTGATTTGAAAATTTGAGTGATTTTCCACATTTTGCAGCTAATATCAGGAGGTATTTTTTAATTCACTTGAAACTAATTGCATTTGTATTTACATTTTGATTAGAGGTTGTAAGTCTAAATAACAAGTATTTAGAATTTTAGGCTTTCATGTTACTGGAGAACTTCTGATCCAATAGTCATTCTGTTAACGAATATTACTTAAAAGTAAATTACGCTACAAAGTTAAGGAGTGTTACTTAGGATTTGTTAAAAAGATTAAAAAAAATTTTTTTCCATGGCTCACTTTATTTAAGTCAAAGGAGAAGCTTGTTCCAAAACCATAAAAGTCATGTTATTTTTAAATCATTAGTAAACTTTAAATATTTTTATTTCTAAAGTTAATGTGCTTCCATATAGTGAATGATTAAAATTTTTATTCAGCTTTCCTAAAAGGAAACTTTATAAGTGATAGGGGAAGCTCTGTAGATTTTTATAGTCTATAACTTTTTTTTTTTAACTTTTAAAAACCTGTGCTTAGGTATAATTAGTTGAAAAGAGGGTTGCTTCCGCCTTGTACAAACAGAGGATTTTTTTGAGTCTACACAAAGATGTTTGGAAGCAACTGCTGTTAAATATTGAGTCTCACTTTCCCTGCACAGTAGAGATTGGTGGGGAAGGGTGTCCCTCCCTTTGCCTATACTAGGGAAAAAGTGTTAATAAAAGCACTGGATATTTGCCTTTGTATCTGGGGAACACACCAGGTTGTGTGGGAACACACTCACTCCTGAGATATCTAAAGGTGAGCTGTCAGGTGGCCTAGTGCCCTGACATTGGCCAGGGGAGCTGGCTGCTTTAGTTTGCAGTTTCCTGGGTCAAAAAATGAGTGAATGTTTTTAGGGAAGTGGAGTATGACTACCTGTGGAACCCCTCTGTTGTTCCTCTCCAAGAATACTGCCTGGTGTCAAAAGGAGTTCAACACAAAGAGGCTGACCTGGGAAAAGTATGGCCAGGTGAAAGACTGTGACTGTGGGATGGAGGGCATCTCTGACAATCCTACAAAGCAGCCCACAACTTTCAATATCTTTCAGGGTCTTTCCTTTCTTCTCCTGTTGCTTTTCTCTCTCCCTTCTGTTCAACTCCAAGCCAGAAAACTCAGTTAGCAAATTGGCATTGGGAGCGTAAAGCATAAAGCAGGAAAATGGAAAAAATCACCCTCCATCCTGATATATGTGGGAAAGAGAAATGGTGTTAAGATCATTCAGATGAAGAATACCAATAACTTTGAGCATTGTATTACATATAATGAAGCATGTCATGATTTATAGAATTGGTCAAAACAAATTGTATATTTTGCAACTATCTGAGGAAAGAACATCTAATAAAAGGATACTGTTGCATATTTTATGGTTAGGCATGGATGATATTTATATTCATGATAGTACCTAGATTTGTTAAGTAGGAAAAGTGTGTGGATGAAAGACAAAAGATGACTTAAAATACTTTTGTCTTACTTTAAAAAGAACATTATTTATTCAACTAAATAATATATGTATCTAACAGGTTTGCTTTTCAGTGCAGCATAAGTTCTCTAGAGGAATTTATAATAGCAATGATAATATACAGACAATTCTTAATAACCAATGTCTATAAATACTGTTTTAAGATTGATATTTTTTATTTTATTTAAAAATTGTTATTAGTGCATTATAGATGTATCTAATATTGGGCTTCATTTGGACACAATGATGCATGCAATAGAATATAATTTTCTCCAATTCAGTCCCTAGGACTTTCCACTTTCTCTTCTCTTATCCCTCCTCTGGTTGCTTTCCTCTACTCTGCTAGTCCTTCTATTTATTTATATTTTTTAAATTATTGCATTATAGATATTCATTAAGGTGAAATTCACTGTGGCATATTCATTATGTACATAGGATAGTTTGGTCAGGGCACAGGCAAAATTTAGTGTTATATATTCTAGGCTGGATGGGGAGGTATTCTGAGAAAAAAAATAAACTGGAATAGGTAGGCTGCCAAAAGTTCATTTCTTGAACCCATACCTAGAAGTCCTCCTATATCTTCAGGGATCTCTCTTGAAACTAAGGCTAGTTCCGATGAAGTTCTCTTTTGCTGATTCCTGAAATACTAGTTTAGTTCTACTTTGCCAAGAATGGGAAATTCCACTGGCCTTTTCATATTCTAAATTGTTTTTTTCAAAACTGTGAGAGTCTGTATGACTGTGGATACTGACTCTGTTTTTAAGTGACAAGATAAGGTTGAGTGGATAACCTAGAATAGAAGGCCTGTCACCTACCCGTCACCACAGAACTGAAAGGATGCACTTTTCTTCGCTTTCAGAAAAGGACACCCATGTGAAGAGTTACACGAGTTTACAGTTTGCATCTGAGGACTTCTAATGTTCCCACCACTGTGCGAATTCAGTGGCGAGTCTCAGCAGATGTCAAAAGAAGTTCCTACCTGGACCAAGCTATATCCTGTGCGCTGGACCAGTGCGCGGAGGGCTGCTTCCTTCTGGGTGCCGCTCAATCCATCCCCGGATTTGTGATTTGATTCCATTGAGAGTGATTATCAGCAAAAAATCAGGTTAATTAGGGTAGCTCACTGAAATCAAATTTAAGATAAATTAAGTAAATTACTGTTGTCAAGTCCAAACTTGTCCTTCTGATGAAGAACATCTTTAGGAAACATTCTCTACAAATAAGTCATTGAAGTCAAAGCAACTAACAGCCATACACAAACAAAGTAGGTGACTAAAGGGACTCATTAAGAATAGAGTGCTTTAGGGGCTGGGGTAGTAGCTCAGCGCCTTTGCCTAGCACATGCGAGGCCCTGGGTTCTATCCTCAGCACCACATAAAAAGAAATAAATAAAATAAATGTATTGTGTCCAACTACAACTAAAAAAATAAATATTAAATAAAAGAATAGGGTGCTTTAAAAGGTTCAGTGTAGTTGAAACTTAGAAGGTGAAAATGTGTGGTACCCCTTCTCCTGTTAGTATGCAGGTCACTAGTTCTCAATCCAGTTACCTTAGGATGTCACCAAATGGTCAAATACAAATGAGTTCACATCAATTAGAAGAATATGAAAATCTGGGCATGGTGTTGTATACTGTAATCCCAGCAACTTAGATGGCTAAGGCAGGAGGATGGAAACTTTGAGGCCAGCCTCAGCCACTTTGCAAGACCTTATCTCAAAGGCAGAAATAAAGAAGGCTGGGGATATGGCTCAGTGGTAAAGTGACCCTGGGTTCAATCCTCAGTACCAAAAAAAAAAAAAAAAAGGAGAAAAAGAAGAAGAATATGAAGTTTGGTTCTTATAGATGGGGGGAAGAGGGCATTGTGTCTATATCAAATCAGCAAAGACAGGACATCAAAATTCTGAGATTGAGCTTCATTTATCTATTGCACATGTTTCTAAGACACTTGTCTACTTATTTTMCAAAGGTAAACTTTTAGAGGAAAGTGTGCTGGTGACAGATAGATGTACAGAAGCCACATATGGTACATGCCACAGAATGAAAATGTGGCATAGATTTTAACAAAACAAGAATACTGGATTTTTTGGAGGGGGTGTTGGAAGGGTATACCAACACCTGGATCATTACAACATACACAACTCAACCCTTTGTATAATCTAGGAAATGATGAAAGTTTATATAGGTCATGTCTGTGTGCAGTTTCAGATTTTGTTGTCTATAGTCCATTTTGAACCCTATTCCAAACATCATAGTTGTTACTCAAATTCACAGGTTTCCAGGACAAGAATAATGGCTATTCTGAAGGTTTCAAGCTGTAATGGAGTGAGGCTGTAGAGGCTCCTATGTACATAGGGTGGGCCAGAGTGTAAGCAGCTCAGTGAAGGTTTAATGCTGGGTTTTTACTCTGCTTAATGTGCTCTACGGCCCAGCATAGAGGAGATGTGTTTTACAATTATTTGAACCAAATGGAACCCTAATGTATTTGACTATAGATTCTTTTGAAAAATTTTTATCAAACACACTGAGATTTCCTATATTATCATCCTTTATAAAACAATATATAAACCATTAATAATATAGGAAACTGGGTCAAAAGTTGAGTGACAGAAGAAAAAAGTGAAGCTTCAAGGAATTGTTACTAAAATTATTATTACTTAAGTAATATAATAGTAATATCACTAGTATTAAGATTATCAATAGTAGCAATAATGCTATTGCTAGTAATAATAGCAATAGGTATTCTATTACTAAGGTGACAGAATAAAAAAGCCTACAAACTAATTCATAGGAATTATTTAGAACATAATATTTTCAACATATTTTAGGAAACCAAAGGGAAACATACAAATTCCAGAGGAAGAATACTCATCATCTTTATAGGGACAGAACAGTGTCATTTTCTGCAGATGAGTATGACCATTTCTTGCCTGTTACCTTTGTGATATTGTTGCTTACTCTTGCCCCAGGTCAACTCACTCATTCTTTTAAGAAGTATTTAGTTAGTTCTGTCTGTATGCTGGCTCCACTCCCTGCCCAGCTTTAGGGCATTGTGTTTCATGGGCAGCCTATTAACTCAATAAGTTAACATACCAGGTTCAGTGTCTACACTTTGCAAGGTTTTTTTTTTCTTTTTTAAAAAATTTTTATTAGTTGTTCAAAACATTACATAGCTCTCGACATATCATATTGCATACATTTGATTCAAGTGGGTTATGAACTCCCATTTTTACCCCGTATACAGATTGCAGAATCACATCGGTTTTGAATCTTGCAAAGGACAGATTAGAATTTCTTTGTAATAGTAGTGATTTGATATAAATGTAACAACTTGGGTTGGGAAAAGTACCTTTATTGATATATTTAGAGTATAAGTACTTTTTCTATGGATTCTAAAATATAGTGTAAATTGAGACCTGCATTCAGTTTATAATCCTAAAATGCTGGTGAATACAGGCATAAGGATTTCTAGGAGACAATATAAACCTTAAAACAGATAAATAAAACTATGAAAATTTTTGAACATTTATAAATAAAACTACCTTTAAGACAAATTCTAATTCTTACACTGTTTCCAAATGTTACTAAATTGTTTTTTCATTGGACATTCTCAAACTCTCCGGCTGTGCTGATTTAACTTGCAAGAGAAGGAGGTGGTGGAYGAGTGTATGTCTTACAGCCCTTTGAAGGCAAAGTCTACAGTCTTTTACCAGGTTACAGATTTACACTTTGCTGAACTTCATCTTTTCCATCAAAAGATAACAGTTCATGGTGACACAACAAATTTGCTTTTGCAAAACCTACCTTTCATTTTTGTTAATAATTACTAAAGGTGATTAAAGTTATTTTGATATCAGAAAGGTCTTTTGATTACATATGAGTTCACTCTGAAGTTATTGAGGCAAATTGTGTAACATTTGAATTTTGTCTCAAGTCACTGGAAATCAGGACATGGAAATAAAGTTCAGAATCTGCTAAAGAGGCACTTGAARGGCTAGGGGTGTAGCTCAGTGGTAGAGTGCTTGCCTAGCATGAATGAGGCCTTGGATTCACTCCCCAGCACTGTAACAACAACCACAAAACAAAACAAGAAAACACTGGATATTCAGTTTTTATTCCTCCAAAATAACTCCCTCTCCCAATGTTGACCAAATCTAAGGGGTAAACTTGAATCACAGATAAATATTTTTTTAAGCAAGTCAAACTTTTGTGAAAAATCTTGGTCAATTTGAAATGAAGGTTTTGCAATACATTTTCTAATCCAGTGCTAGCTGTAAATTTTTAAGATCTGAGACTATTTTGAAATAGTAGTTCCCAATGTAATTTATTGAGGTAACAGCATCCAAACAAAACCTATCCATATGAGGCACCGGAGCTAGAAGAGAGCATTAACGTGTATCTATTACTTATTAATCAAAAAATTGCTAAGTGCCTACCATCTTCCAGGAATTTTGGAGACACTGAAGATGTAGCAGAGAATGAAACTGATCCCTCCCCCAAACTTCTCTGGGAGTTTTATAACAGGTGGGAGAAACAATAAGTAATAAGATCAATAAGTAAAATAGAGTGGTGGTATGATATTTTCTGAGGAGAAACAAAGTGTAGAAAAGGAATATTTACAATGTGTTTGTAGGTGGGGAACATTTAGAAAGTTTGTCCTAATAAAGTGTATTTGGGAAGAGATCTGGGTGAAGAAAGAGACTTATGGGATAGAACATTCTAGGCAGAGAAAGAGCCTAGTCAGAGTAAGGACAGGGGTGGGAACATGTTGATGGAATAACAGAGGCCAGTGTGATAGAGAATGAGGCTCAGTAAAAGGGAGAGAAGTAGGAGTATAGGTTAGAGAGAGAATCAGACCAGTTCATGGTAGATCCTATCAGTCCCAGTAAGGACTTTGGCTTTGGCTCTTAGACAAGGATCACTGTGACTGTTGTGAATACATGGAAGGGAGTAGAACTGGGCTGGGAACAGTTCTATATTATAGGGAGGCAAGTAATGCAAATACAGAGTCTAGTCCTGATTTTATTTAAAATTTCACTGTTTCATTCATTATGAATTATTTTTGCATTGGTTTAACTGAAAAGTATTGCCTTAATATATCATTTTGTCTATATTACTGAGTTTTTGGGTGTTCCTTTAAATTTCATTCTGGAGATAAACATCTTATTTGCCTCACTTACCTCACTCTAGCTGGTGKAGATGGGAGAGAGAAGCAAGAGATATACCAGAAGCCATTGCTCCATCTAGGAAAAAGATGAGAAGGGCTTGCACTGGTGTGGAGACAGTGGTGACTGTGAAAAGTGGACACATTTTGGATATATTTTACGGACTGATTGGATGTGTTGTGTGGGAGGAAATGAGAATCCAGAATGACATTCAGTTTGGAAGGAAGAAAAGCAGGGTCTCCAGTTTGGGCATGCTCATTTTAGTTCCTTGGAGAGGTACATTCTACATGTTTTGCCACGAACTAAGTTGATGGCAGGTGGATATGAGTCTGCATTTCTGGGAGAGTCCCGGGAAGGTGAGGCTGACTGTGAGGTTATCCATGTAGAGGTGATATTTAAGCTGTAAAACTGGATGAGATCATCTAAGGACTGAGTGTAGAGAATAGGTGAAAGACTGATCTCTGGAGTCCAATTTGTAGAAGTTGGCATGTAATAAGGAACTATCAAAGACAATTGAGTGAAATGGCAAAAAAAAAAAAAAAAGATAGGAAAAGATAGGATAAGAACCAATTGAGTGAGATGGTCTGAAAGCCAAGTAATTTTGAGAACAAGTGATTGGCCAACTGCACAAGTTCTACTAAATCAAGGAGAAAAGGTCTGAATAGGAATCCAGACCCAGGAACTAGATTTTCAGGGTTTGCATCCTTATTGTGTTCCTTACTGAATTCTCCAGGCAGATTTCTTAACCTCTCTGTCTCAGTATCCTCAACTGAGGCAATCATAGTACCCCTCTCAGGGTTTCTATGGATATTACATGAGTAATGAATTGAAGGGGTTTTGTAAGAGCCCCTGGCAGATGGGACATGACTGATTAGTGTTAGGCAAAAACATATGACACCAGAAAGAGGAGAAAGAGAGAGGCAAAGTAGTCCCCAACTATACAAGGAGCACCTCAACTCT